TGCTAAATGATTTAAAAGTTGCAGGGCACGAATACTAATATATCTGAAATGGCTATACATAATCATCTTTTGGATAAAGGTAACAGCACACAGTCACCTCTTTCCTTTCTTCCTTTCCAGCTTTGGGAGACACAAAAGCACACAGAATGTCATGCACAAATTTAGGTTTGTAAGACCTATGATCCATATTCACATATATCCAATGAGTTGGCTGCAATAGGTCAGAAGAATTTTGAGCAAAGCAATGTACTTGCATTGTAAAACACTGAAGAAAAGTGATCGTCTGGGGCGCCTGGGTGGCTCAGTTGGTTAAGCAACTGTCTTCAGCTCAGGTCATGATCCTGGAGTCCCGGGATCGAGTCCCACATTGGGCTCCCTGCTCAGTGGGCGATCTGCTTCTCCCTCTGACCCTCTTCCCTCTCATGCTCTGTCTCTCATTCTCTCTCTCTCAAATAAATAAATAAAATTTAAAAAAAAGTGATCCTCTGCAGACGCATGTACACCCATAATATAAGAAACATGTTTCTTAAAAGTAGCATTTTAACTATCCTGTAAAACCCTAAGAATGAATCACCGATGAATACTTTTACACTGCAACTGTTGATCATGATTAATCAATAAAGTCTCCCATCTAGCCAAAAACAACCAAAAAAAAAAAAAGGAACAAGATGGAAAATAATATAAGCTAGTGATCGTGAAACAAGAAGGAATTCAAGAAATGTAAATATCTTGAATGTTAATACACGAAGATAATGATTATAAGAAGATATCTGAACCCACCCATACTACTGAATAGCTCTCATATTATGTAGCCCTGACTTCATGGGTACCTGAGAGTTTGGCCTGTTTCCAAGAAAGTACTTGAGCCATAATCTTTTGTAGCAGAGAAGCAGAGAAAGACACTTCCAAGTGGGTACCTGTACTCCAATTTGCCAGTAAGACTTTTCCTCCGTGACTATTTATGTTCTTAATTTCTCAATCAAACCTAAAAATAAAATCAATTCTCATCTTTTTGATATTGCTAAATGATTTAAAAGTTGCAGGGCACGAATACTAATATATCTGAAATGGCTATACATAATCATCTTTTGGATAAAGGTAACAGCACACAGTCTTCCAAGGACTTGTTTTGGTTTCAGGGCTTTGAAAAGTAACAATTGTGGACCAGTAGTCTTTCCACACCATTTTCTCAAGTTTCCTTGACTAGGAACCTTCAGCCTGATAAGGCCCAGCACCTCTTCCTCATCAGTCTTATTCTGCAACATGGTGACAACATGGTTTCAAGGGTAATTTCCAATTACACCAGATCTGTAAATTGTGAGTCACTGAGATTATACAAAATGGGATTTGGCTTCTCTTCAAGTTTCACATTCATCACATAATCGGGATATGAAGCATCCCATACAGAGGAAGTAGCATCCAAAGGAAGGAACGTGCTTAAATAATACACACTACCCAAATTTACAGCTGTCCTTTTATATTCAAATGATATTAAGCACACTGTCACGTTAAGTTGAAAACATTTTAGATCTAAAAATATACTGTTGAAATAAATGACACAGTGAGAAACAAGACCAAAATCTATTTTTATAAAATACAGTCTATAATTTCAGATACAAAAATGCTACATACAACCATACTTAGATATCTTCTAAATTATAATCTGAGATTTATATTTTTTAAAGTTATCTCTGGTGAATTTCAAATTTAGTATTTTTACAGAGTTTAAATGTCTATATTGAATCTTTATGTTTCTTTTTAAAACTGGAACTGAGCAAAAATATAATTCTAAAACAAGATTCCTGACTTCAAAGAACTGTGTCTTCAGATAACCTTTCTCCTTAAATCATTAGAACCAATTTCCTTAAAATTATACTTCCTCTTTTTGACTGAGCATCGAGTAGAAAAATTCATGATTTGGACTTCATTTTGATTTTCTTCTGGTTTTTGGATTCCTTTCTGCTATTTTGACATCACTATTATATTTTATCATACCTTTTCTCAAAACAAGTTGCTCATTTTATGTTGCTTTCAAGCATGTTATTGAAATATAACTTGAAGAAATTGAGCTTCTTGCTTCAATTTTCCTTAAGCATCAGTGATAAGTTCAATCATAACAATTGCCAGATTTGTACTTTTTATTCTGGATTCCCAATTATATAGGACAATTGAGGGTAATTCAAAGTGTTTCAGAATCACCTACTGCCAAGATTCTGGAAAATGTCTTTTGCAAAACAGAACGCTAATGCTCTGAGGACTCTATTATATCTGCACCAACATGTTCTGTGCACTTTTATGGAATGAGAAGGTAATGGGCTAGGTTCATCATAGCTACTATTGTAATGCCACTATGTGCTGACACTCTGTCAGCAAATACTGAGAACCTATTTTGTTTCAATTTTTAGTTATATGTATTTGAGTATTATTAATTTCTAAAGATAACTAGTATAAACTCAGGAGGATCAGTTAGATATACATTTAAGTGTATGGTCTTATACAGATCTTATGAAAGTATTGCAGACCACGAATATCTGCATCTAAATGAATAAAGGAAATAATGTTCCTTAAGAATTGTCTAAAATGAGAATAATTCAATAGATGCTTTAGTTCTTAAATACCTCTTTATTTTAAACTGAACTGTTGTAGGGAGCTATAAGTAAGATCAACTTTTGGTCTGTTTCACAAAATAGCAAGTTTTATCCTGTTATCATGCTTGATACTTTAAAAACTCTTAACCTTATCCTCATCTGCAATGAAATATTTTGGTATATTAGTATCTTTCTGGTAGTAGTAGTCAGTTGTAATAACCAGCATGTGCACGCATGCACACAGAGATGACAATGAAATAAAAAGGCCTAATAAAGAGTATGTTAATAAACTTCATCACAGAGAGGTGGCCAAGGAGGAAAGCCATGACTCCTTTTTCCATTTTATAAAACAGACCACAAGTAGTATTTTGCAAGGCTACAAACTTTTCTTTTCCATTTGTACCATTTTTTTTGGTAGAAGTAGAACTTTCTTTCTCTTTCTTTCTTTCTTTCTTTCTCTCTCCTTTCTTTTTTTTTTTTTTTTTGCATAAGCATCTACAAACTCTAAAGGTACGCAAATAAGAACTATGAGACCAGTGAATTACTTTTAGCTGCTTCTGCTATGCTAATCAGGTGAGAGAAATCTGGGTTTCATATTAGGAGCCCTTCTAAATGGTTTAATTCCTTTACAGCTACCATTAGCTGTCAGCTTCAGCGTGGATATTGTCCATGTGCACTTTGAGGTAGTCATTCCTTGTAAACTTCTTATGGCAAAACTGGCATTCTGCCAGTGGACGATTGGGATTGTGAGTCATCTTGTGTCGGATCAGCATTTTCTTTAGGCTAAAAGCCAAGTCACAAACCTAGAAAAGACCCAAAGATACCAATCATATTATACTGAAAAACCTGAAGATATGCCAATTTATCATTTATACAATATACATTATGCATAGTCCTATTATCAAGTATATACGGATGGGCATAAGAACAAAAATTGCTTGAAATAAATGGAATTTAACATCCCAACTTAAGGGTAAAGAAAATTAATTATAGTTCCCAAAAGCAGTTTGCATTTAATGTGTGTGTCCTTTACGCCCTAGCCACCCTCCTTCCCCCTCCACTACTGCATTTAAACATGTCTAGAGAAACAACTCCTGGGGAACAGTATCTTTCTTCCCATGATGGAGTGTATTGACAATTTTATATTAAACCTCTTAAACAAAATGCCTAATGGCCCAGAGGGCATCTCTCCATATGACATAAATAGCACAAGACATGTCTCACCAGTGATCCCTTCAATTTAGTCCCATTTATGAAGTAAAAGGTTAGCACTGCTTTAAGCATCCTAAGTGGAAGTTTTTTACCCACAATTCCAATTCTTTATTTCTTATTATATACGCTCATTTAACTAAGGCATCCAATGTTTACTTCATATAAGCTCTGCCACATCACCACCTGGCCCAACAGACGTTAACAGTCCAATAATTAAAAATATTATAGTACCACAGAAGATGTAAGGTTTTCCTGCCTCAGTCCTTTCCCACTTCTCTTGATGTAGCTTCCTCTTACTAACTCCTTGGGGAAGCCTATATGATCTGTCTGCCAGAAGTCCTCTGTTAATTGCTTTCATAGTAGCTTTTACTTTTCCTTTATAACACTTACCCTGAATGTAATTAATTATTAGGTGATTTTTTTATGTCTGTCTCCTTACCGGTCTAAGAAACATTAGGGCAAGAGTAGTCATTCCATAAATATTTGTTGACTTAAAGAAAGGTAGATAAGATATCTGATAGCTAGGTAAAAGTCTTTTGAGCAATATAAGTACACCAAAGGCTGCAGAATAATTTCCAGAGAAATCAAAGAAGGTAACCATAGAGATTATTTTCAAGTAAAAGAAACTCTAAGTTTCCAAGTTGTCTTTATAAGTCTAATCAAAATTTGTTATCATAACATAGAATTATAATGTATCCCCTATTTTCTATTTCCCTGGCTCCTTCTCTAAACCCCATGTAATGAATAGATACCAAATTCCTCACTGGCTTCCCACTGAAAGTAGATTCAGAATAAATTCCTTACCATGGTTTAAAGGCCCATCAATTTGCTCTCCAACTTCACTTGCATCCCTTCTTTCTCATGATGCTCCAGCTCCACCTGCCTTCTTACCTCCCCTAATACCCAGACTCATTCCCACCTACAGGCCTTGATTTATACTGTTCCCTGAGCCTGGAATGTTCTCTTCCCTATGGCTGACTCTTTCTCATCTTTTAGGTTACTTAGAGTGACCTTCTCAGAGACTTCTTCCTTAAGTATTCTTTTATGCCTCTCCCTCCTCCTTTTTAAAATTGTTCTCAGTCTTCATCATAGAATGCAATACAGGTTTATTTGTTCAATGTCTATACCTCACAGGAATGTGAGTTCTGTGAGCACAGGGGACATAGTATCTTGTTCACTGTCTCATTTCGGTGCTTGGCACAGGGACTAGGTTGAAGGGCTAACAGCTTTCATTATGTGCCAGGAACCATTCTTTGCAATTCATAAACATTAACTTGTGCAATCCTCACCTCACCCTTTTAGGTAGATTACTAGTACTCTGAGCCCCATTTTACAGAAGGAAACTGACACATTCACTTCAGTGTCTCAAGCAGGTTGTACAGGGTCACAGAACTAGGAAGTGATTTCCAGGATTTAAACCCATGCAGTCTGGGTTTAGAGTCTTTACAACCCCAAGGACAGACTATTATTAAAGGCTCAAACTTCAAACAAAGATATGTGAGCTGACTGTACTTTTTCCATTTGCCTGGCTGACACCATTTTTAAGGAATAAAAACCTCTTTGAAAAAAATAAAGGAGGTTCTCAGACAGTTCAGCTCACCAGTGTGTTGTGAGGGCTACAAGTCAAGTTCATTTACATGGTCACCACGGGAAAATTATAGCAGCAGCAAGCTGGAGAAATGAAAAGGAAGTTGAGCAAGATGCTGAAGTCATTGATAATGGCTCTGAATTAAGGAGTTCCTAGGAGCTCCACATAGGAGCTGGGAGCAGAACATCCCAGCGGATTTTTGAATGAGGGCCAGGTAGAGGATTAAATGTCAGTAGAGGGTAGCTGATGTCACAGTTGTGGAAGTGACTACCTACATGTTAAAAGCTATGTTTTCATGAACTTAAATGTAGTCATTAAGAGACTTCAAACTGATGTTCTCTATAAATCAGTAAAATGCAAGGACATTCATGGTCATTTTAAAATTAAGGGAGAGCAAGAAAGAATTCAAATAGTGCAACAGGGATGCTTTTCTTTATTTCCACCTGAAGTTCTTAGCCAACCCTTCCATCTACTCCAAATTAGTATTAATTCACCTGCCAAAGAATAGGAAAATATTTATTATTTTTCTAGGCTAGCAGTAAACTGATTTTGTTTTAAAATGAAGTGAAAAAACACATTTACTGCAGTACCTTGAGAGATAATATTAAAATTCTATACAAACATCTTCAGTTAATATTTATCAATCACATACAATGTGCCTTGTGCCACTTCAGTTAGAAACAGAATAACAAAGAGCACTCTGTCCTGCCCTGTGGAGCCCACAGTCCTAAAGAGAAATATTTTCGATGCCATGAACATAACGCTAGGAGAAGCAACAGAGGAGAGCACAGTCAAGTCTTCCTGGGTGTATGGGTGCTGTCATGTCGTAAGGTGGGGAATGATATCCCAGGGAGAGGGAAGAGAACGTGCAAAGGTACAGGGGTGTGACGAGCAAGGCTCCTGTGGGGAGGTGAAAACAGTTCACTAAGGCTGAAGAAATAGATTATTAGAGCAATAAATTGACATAAAAAATAAGAGAAATAACTTCACAAAGAAGTTAGAGTTGAAGGCTGGAGCCAAACCCTGGAGATCCTGGTAATCATAATAAGACACTGGAAGTATCTTCTGCAAGTGGTGGGGATTCATTAAAGGATTTTAAATAGAGACTAAAACTAAAATATCATTTAGTCACCAAGCTCAAGAGTATGAAACTGGAGTCAGCATAGCCAATACTATTATTCCACTCTAAGCCAGAAATGATTTGGATATGAACTAAGACAGCACTTATTGATTCATCAATTCATGCTTTTAAAAATATTCACTAAATATTTCTTATTTTGGATGTTCTAGGCCTGGGGACACAGCAATGAACGATAAAGAAAAAAAAACTCTGTTGTCATGGAACTTAGAATCGATGATAAATAATTAAACAAACAAACGTAATATTTCAGGTGGATGCAAGAAGGAGAAGAATACGGGGTGAGGGTTAAGAAAGTAATGGAAATAAGAAAGAGAGGAATTCAAGCAGAGAATTGAAATAAGTGCAGGAGAAGGCCATAAAGATACTTGAGAATGGTGTCCTAGGCCAGGGAAGCAGGCACTGCCCCCCGCCCCCAACAAAAAGACCTATTTACTGGAATATACTTAGTGTGTCTGAGAAACAGCAAGGAAATGATATGGCCAGAGTGAGGTAGATGGTGGTGGTGAAGTCAGAGAGAGCAGGTGGGGTAGGAGGGTGGGGGTGCAGATCTCTATGGACTTTCAGACCATGGTAAAACCTTGGTTTTCACTCTCAATGGGATGCACAGTCATTGGAGGGTTTCAGCAAATGAGTGAAATATAATACATATACAATCTACATCTAAAATGTATAAAATCTGACTCAAGTTCTAGAAAGATCACTCTGGGTGGCAAGCTTAGGACTGGGAGGAGCAAAGACCAAAGACAGATAAATTAAGAACGACTGCATTACTGCAGGAGACTAAGATGGTAGCTGGGGAGATGTGAAAAGTGTTCAGATTCTCAACTTATTTTAAATGTAGAGCCAATCAGATTTGCTACTGGGTTGGAGGTCAGTGAGAAAAAGAGAGGAGTAAATGTGGCAGTGGAAATTTAGAGAAGATAATAAGTTTGAGAAATATATAGAAGGAAAGACTGTCAGGTATTACTGGGACTGAATGAGAGCTACTTGGGTTCGAACCCTAGAATCCTGACTTGGCCAGTTATAAGTGGTAGAGAAGAGGCAAGTCACTCAATTTCCGTGAGCCTCAGTTGCTTCATAGAGGTGGAAATAATACCTGGGTATTTCTGGGGTGTAGTGAAGATCAGAGAGAATATATATAAACTGGGTCACTGTGTCTTTCCCACAATAGAAGCTTAACTAGATGATGCTATTGGTCATGGAAAAAGTGTCTGGCACGAGGCTCAGAGCTTTGGTTTGGGTTATTTGGAGATGGTGGAACCCTCAGAGAGATGTATAGGTAAAGGGAACATGCTGAGTGACTGAGAAGGCTGGAGAGATACTGATTTCAGTCTCGAATATGGGAAAGAAGTCTTACAGGCAGCTTCAAAATATCTGCCTAGAGTTCAAAAGAGAAATCTAGGCAGCAGAAAGAGAGATTTGGAAGTCATCACCATAGGGATAGTAGCAAAGATACTAGAAGCTCAATAGCTATGGCATGCCAGGGGAACTGCATGGCATGGAATGACTGCGCCAAAGGGGCTAGTGTTGATGAGTGAAGTGGCATTTGAGCAAAATTATAAAGAACTGAGATAAACATATATCAGTTTTTTCTTCACAATTTCGCTCAAACACAACTCAAATATCATCCGTGTGTGTGTGTGTGTGTGTATGTATGTGTGAGAATGCCAGGCAGTGTGAACAAGAGATAGAGAAGACTTTCCAGGCAGAGGATTAGTGCATGAAGCCACACGGAACAAGGGACAGAGAGGCAGAACGGCATCACTGCTTTAGGAAACTCAGTGTTGGTACAAATAAAATTCAGACTACTGACAGATAAGAGATTATTAAGATTTTAATAATAAGAATTGACAAAAACCAGAATAACTTTTCAGTCAAGTAAGAAGGTAGATTTTACCCTATGGGTTGTGAGACACTATCACAGAGAAGCACATGATTAGGTTTACTTTGAGACAATCACACTGGCATGTTACTACTGACCCCTGAGAATTTAAAAGGATTTTAAGAGAATACTATGAACTGTATGCCAACGAATTAGATTACATAGATGAAATGAACAAGTTCCTAAAGCACACAAATAACCAAAACTGATTCAAGAAGAAATAGAAAAACTCCAGAGACCAGGAACAAGAGATTGTATAAAAAAAAAAAAAACAAAAAACAAACAAAACACTCACACACACACACACACACGCACACACACAAAACTTCCCAACAAAGACAAGTCTGAAACCAGACTTTTAAATTCCACCAACATTTAAAGATGAATTAACACTAATCCCCTCAAATTCTCCCAAAAAACAAAGAAGAGGGAATGCTTCCTAATTTATTCTGTGAGGCCAGCATTATCTTAATACCAGAGCCAGACAAAAATATTACAAGAAAACTCTAGGCCAATATCCCCTTTGAATATAGATGCAAAAATCTTCAAACAAAAAACAAAAACTCTAATTAGTCAAATTCAAAGGCATATTAAAAGGATTACAAGTCATGACCAAATGAGATTTATCCAGACTGTAATGGCAGTTCAACATAAGAAAATCAAACAATGTAATACACCACATTAACAGAACAAAAGATAAAAAAAATTATCATCTCAGTTGATGAAGGAAAGCCTTTGACAAAATCCAACACCCTGTCTTGATAAAAATACTGAAAACTAGGATAGAAGGGAGCCTCCTCAACATAATAAAGGGCATTTATAAAAAACTCAAAGCTAACATCACATTGAATGGTGTAAAACTGAAAAATAATGCAAAAAAATGGACCCCTACACTTCACACTATATTCAAGAAATTAAAACAGATCAAAGACCTAAATGTAAGAGCTAAAACTATCAAACTCTTAGAAAAAAACAGGAGAGTAAATCTTCATGACCTTGAAATTGACAATTCTTAGATCTGACACCAAAAGCATGTTGAGAAAAGGGAAAGAAAAAAAAAAACCCAGATAAATTGGACTTCAACATTGAAACTTTTTTTTTTTAAGATTTTATTTTTTTAAGTAATCTCTGCATCCAAAGTAGGGCTCAAACTCATAACCACCAGATCAAGAGTCGCATGCTCTACTGACTGAGCCAGCCAGGCACCCCCAACACTGAAAAGTTTTGTGCATCAAAGGATAATATTAAAAAAGTGAAAAGATAACTTATGGAATGTAAGAAGATGTCTAGTATCTAGAATATCCAAAGAACTCTTACATTCAACAACAAAAAGACAACAAAATTTTAAAATGGGAAGAAGACTTGAATAGATATTTCTCCAGAGAAGATACAAATGCCAACAAACAAGTAGATAGAAAGATGCTCAGTATTATTAATCATCTGGGAACTTTAAATCAAAGCCACAATGAGATATCACTTCACATGCCCTAAGGTGACTATAATTTTAAGAACAAAAATTACAAGCGTTGACAAAGATGTGGAAAAATTTGTATTCTCGGGCATTGCTAGTGGGAATATAAAATGGTGCAGCTACTATGAAAAACAATACAGCAGTTCCTTGAAAAATCAAACAGAATCAACATATGACACAGCAATTCTACTCCTAGGTATATGCCCCAAAGAATTTAAAACAGGTAATTAAATACCTGTATGCACATGTTTGTCTCAGAGCAATTCACAATAGCCAAAAGGGAGAAACAACCCAAATGTGCATCAATTATGAATTGATAAACAAACTGTGGTATATACATACAATGGAATATCATTCAGCATAAAAGGGAATGATGTACTGATACATGCTATGATGTAGATAAACCCTGAAAACATTATGCTAAGTAAAAGAAGCCAGTCACAAAGGTCGCATCCTATATGATTCATTTACATGAAATATCCAGAATAGGTAAATCTATTGAAATGAAAGAAGATTGGTAGTTGTCAGGGTCTGTGGAGAGTAGGGAATAACTCCTTAATGGGTATGGAATTTTATTTTGGGACATTAATGTCTGAGCACGAGATAGAGGCGATAGTTGTACAACGTTGTTAATGTACTCAATGCCAGTGAATTGTTCACTCTAAAATGACTGATTTTATGTTATGTGAATTTCATCTCAATTAAAAAATAAAAACCATTACCTTGGCAGGGTGGAGAACACATACACTGGAGATGGAATGTAATAAAACACAGGGAGGGTGCAGGCTATGCACTGCTAGTGGGACTAGAAACTGAGAGGAAGTAATAGATTTGAGTGTTATTTAGAAAGGAGAAAGACTGGGAATGCGTGAGAAAGGATAACTTCTTTCCAGAATGAGTAGGTTATAAAAGGATAAGATTTTGGAACAAAAACAACCAGTTCTTTCTACTGAGCAGGCTGCATTTCAGTGAGGTTTTGGAGGCAATGGATCTCTACTCAATGGACCGGTTTGAGCCACAGATAAGGATCAGAGAGTTTTGAAAATAGGATAGAAAGAGATGAGATAGAAGTAAATAGAAAAAACCATGCTTGTAACATTACAGTTTTTTTTTAAATAACATCATGGTCCAGTTTAGCTTAGGAAGTAGTCAACAAAAATATTTAGCATAAATGAAAGTTGAGTTGAATGTGATAGTAGGAAGGTGTCCTTCACAGTTAATATTTAATTTCTGTGTCCCATCAGTTGTTTGTGTAGCTGTACAATTAAGTAATCTAAACAGGTTTTGCTTATATGAAAATGTTTCCAATTTAAGCACCAATGAATTAAACCAAATGAAATTATGAAGCTAAGGCTGTACCTCCATTTCAGGATAGAGCTCTACATGTGTACATTTCTTTTTCTACAAGTACTTCTTGCCTTAAAGAAGTTCACTGTTCATATAGGTATTTTTATGAGTAGGCCCAATGGGAGTACATTGTTGCCTTAACCTTACCACCACAGTTTCATGGAAGGACAAGGAAAACATCTTGTGTTTGTGAGTTTCCTTTCATGTGGACTGCTTACCCCATACTTTATCCGTTGGGATATGCCAACGGGATGAAGTCCTCGAGTTTCCCTCCACATTTAAAGAGAATTCTCTACTGTGCAATTTCACACACTACAACTTTAATGCTTCTTCTTCTTCTACTGAGCTACATTAATACTCTTCTTGCTATTTTTATGTTAGAAATAAGCATCCAAGTGTTTTCCCTAAAGCCTGTGTCAATCTTCTGTCGACTGTCAATCTTGCACAGAATCATGACACTGTGCATCAAGAAACCAGTTTTTTTTCCTTAATTAATTAATGCTCAGATTAATTTTACTGACAGTGGTAGTATTTTTCCTTTCATAAATAGTGTAAACAACTATGTTGATAATTTCATTCAATTCAAATGTCATAAGCAGAAAATCTAAACAATTAGCAATATTATTTAAACAAAGGAGTTTGTTCATGTTTTAGAAATTCATGGTTAGGCTGTAACAAAATAAATAGTATCTACGACCAGTTAAATCTCTGGTTTAAGTGTCATTAACCTGTCAAAGATATGGGTAGACACATGAAAGCTGCCTTGAATCATCACGCACCTATAACTTGAAAGAACAACTCAATTGCATTAAAAAAGGGTACAAGCGTGCCTTGAAGAAAATCAGAGTTTATTTGCTGCCAGCAAACTAGGATGAACCAAATTACTACACAGTGGTTACATGGATTATGCAATCACAAGATACAAGCAGCACAAGACATTAATAGAAAGACCAGCACTGCAAAACGCAAACACACACTCATACATACACACATAGATGCACAGACGCAGACACACACACACACTTCCAGCATGTCTGTTACTGGAAGACACTGGGGAAAGAAAAGAGAAACCAAACTCACATCACACTGAAAAGGCTTTTCTCCAGTGTGCGTCCTCTTGTGCTCATCCAGGCCTCGCTTCTGGCTGAAGGCTTTGCTGCACTCTGAGCACTTGTATGGCTTCTCCTGCAGTCAATGGAAAGAGAGTGCCATGAATTTGAGTGAATTTAGAGCCCTCCTTACTAAGGTGTATGGGGGGGGGTGGTATTTTATCTAGTTCTGTAGGGTGCCGCAGCAAATCCAGAGGGGTGCCTTGAGTTATTTTAAATGTTCAGGAGAAATAGCACTACTCAACATCTGCTGGACAAACTGAACTACTTGGCTCATGGCAGTTCAGTTCCAACATTAGATTGTACAACAGTTCTTTTAATTATGTCATACCTTTGCAAGGCTGGGTTCTGAATGATAGACATGATCTAACTACTAAAAGAACTGAACTCAGGTTTTCTTTTGGTCTTGGCGGGCTGCAAAAATTTACTGAGATACTAAGGGCATCATGGACCAAGAGAGTTTGGGACCCCTGATCTAGATGGTGCAAATTGTTTACTGTCTCAGAGGAATTCCTGGGAATGAAAACTTCAGAAAAAAATTGTCATCAGATTTTGGGGGTGAGTTTAAAAAACTATAGCTCAACTGTGATTTAAGTATTTTCATTTCTATTGCCCAATGTTTCTTTCCTAGGTAGAATATTCTTTTATAAAATCTGTTACTTTTTTAAATGAGGCATTTTTAAATTGTTTGTCACAGACTCGTAAGGAAAAATAACATCTCCACAGGAAAAGAAAAAATGTCCACATTCCTTAGCCACCTTTGATACCAGGTACTTATATCACCATTCTTTTCACTTGGAAAGAACTGCAAAATAAATTAACATTGTTCCATTAAAACAGCTCGTGAAAAACAACAACAAAAAAAACAACAACCCAAAAACAGCTGGTCATTATGAAACAGTGCATAAATAAAAATATTTGAGGAAAAAAAATAAGATTTGTTTAAAGTAGACTTGCAATGAGATTTTTTCCCAAATACATCTTCAAAAATGTTATAGTTTTTTTTTTTTTAAATTGAAGTACTGTGTGTGTATTTAATTTCCTGTTATGTGGACAAGTTCCATGCATATTTTCTCCTTAGTATTTAAAAGAGTATTATAAACATTTTCAGACCTACAAAACCAAACCAACATGTGTGTGTCTACCAGCTAGCTCTTAAGGAATCAAACATTACCAGTACATGCCTCTCAACGCACCTGTACCCCCACTACTTGACTGCAGCACTGGTCCATGTCCTCAGAGGTGACCACTGTGCTGGACATGGAGCTTATCATTCCCTTGCTTTTCTCTACATTTTTTACTGCACATGTATGGAAGGATCTCTAAGTAAGACATAGTATTATTTTGCCTTTTAAACTTATTTAAATAGATACTATTTACATACATACTGTATGTAAACTCTGTGAGTTCTTTTGAAATTGACTTATTTTTGTTCAACATTATCTTTATGAGCTTCTAGTCCCCAATTTCATTTTGTGAACACATGTTGTTCCTAATCATTCATTTTTAATACCATATTACATTCAATGGCTATACCCCAATTTGCTTATATACATTGTCGAGTGATGAGTAGTTCATGTTTTTCCAATTTTTCACTCTTACAAATAACATTGCTCTGGATTTTTTTTCTACATGCATACTTGAATGCAGAAATGTAATCCCCTATGGTATTTTAGCTAGAAGTGGAATTGCACCTTCAACTTTTATAGGAATGGCCAAACTCTACAGAGTGGATAAACCATTTTACACTCCAACATTCCAGTATATTCTTATAATTCTATCACTGTATTTTGCAAATTTTGAGACTCATGAGCAACATGATGAGTATATATAAGTTTAAAACTCTTATGTTCCTAGAAAATAGGACCTTTTATCATTTTGAAGTAATCTTCTTTATCTGTAATAATTCTTTTTACTTTAAAATTAATTTGGTCTTAATATACCTGTAAAAGCTTTTTAAAATTAGTATTTGATGGGTGGTAGGGAAATTGGGGAGATGTTGGTCAAAGGGTACAAATTTGCAGTTAGAAGATAAGTTCTGGAGACCTACTGCACAGAATTGTGATTTATAGTGAACAATACCATAGGATGTATTTTAAAGTTGCCAAGAGACTAGATCTTAAATGTTCTCACCATCTCTGTACACACGCACACACACAAAGGTAATTACGAGACATGATGGAGGTTTAGCTAACACTATGGTGGTAATCGTATTGCAATATATAAATGTATCAAATCAATACCTTGCATCCTCTGAATGTATATAATGTTATACATCAATTATACCTTAGTTTAAAAGAAAGAGGCAAAAAAATAAAGTAAAATTAGTGTTTGCCTGGTATACTCATCTTTTAACTTTCAAACAGTCTATATCCTTAGGTATGAGGAGTGTCTCCATAAACAGTATCCAACTGGATTTTTTTAACCTACGCTTATATCATTTTTTTTAAGGTAGCAAGTTTTGCCTCTTAATATTCATTATTATTCATTTCATTTATAATATAATTACTGTTATAATAAATACATTAGGTATATTTATCTATTAATATTTGTTATTAAAATATACTTGAATATATTTCTAACATTTTATTTTGTGCATTGCTTTTATCTTGCTTATCTTCTCAGGTTTTTTCCCCTATATTTTCTTGTATGTTTTGGATTGATGATTTCCACCCCATATTATCATAGAAGTTATGAACACTATTTCTCTTAGTGGTTATCCTTAACAATTCTACCATGTACATTTAACACAATCTAAAATGTATCTGTATGTTTTCCCTCCTACTGAATAACAAGTCCTGAAGAATGTTCCTGTCTTACACGTTATGTGTAACAGTATTTTACTGATTTTTAATGCCCGATATGGAATATTATTACTTTATACAACAGTGCAGTTCAGTTTTATACACACTTAACAATCTCTTTACTTTTCATGCTTTCTTATCTGACCTTCAGAGGATCTGATGATGGTAAATTCTGTTTTTATTTGTTTGAAAATGACTTTGTTTCTCATTTGTTATTAAGTGAAAGTCTACAAATCCAATTAGACGTATAACAAACTCTATTTTTCACATCTCTTAACCATTTCCATCTCCTTGTATTGCACCATATGTAATTTCTTTAGATTCAGTTGATCAATTATCTTCCGGTAGGAATAACTTGTTAATAGGATCACTTTAATTTCCATTATATTTTAAATTTTTGTAAGTTATTTGGTTCTTTTCAATTATGCTTAATTTTTGATAAAATCTTATTTTTTACTCATGTTGCTTATGTCTATTTAAAAAATATTCTAGACATTTGTATAATTTACCTCATCTGATAAATCATTATCTTAAGTTTTTTGGAAATCTAATTTTGCTATTTGTGGTTTCTCCTGTCTCCTGCTCATGGCTCTTGTTTCCTTGGGTGTTTCTAGAATTTGCAATTATGGGCTCATGTTTGGTGGTCTTTATCTGTTAAAATTCTGTGACCCCTAGGTTGAGGGTAAGTCCCTCCAGACAGCATTTGTGTTTGCTTCTGCCAGGCATTCTGGGATGCTATCAATCAAAGACCATTTTAAGTTTATTTCTTGCCTTAGGGTTTTCTGGTCAGGGAAGCATTTTAAGTCTGAACTCTAAACACACTTGAGGGAAAGACTGTGGTTACAAACTCTAGGGAGAACTCTTTTTCTCTAGCCAGCAATTACTCTGAGACAGTTAAATGTCCCAAGCATCTCCATTTGCCAAAGGTAGATTATTTCCAGTTCCTGATTTCATTTTGAGGATCGCTTTTCTAGGGTCCCAGCATTGTGGTGGGATGTGGTTCCATCTTGCCCTATAACCTAAGCCCAGAGCTTGCCTCCCTTTCCATCACCATTAAAAACCACCTTGAATTTACAGATACTGGCAAACACCCTGAAAGTGTTCTCATTCTCAACTCTGGCATTTGGCTGCAGTTTGCTTTGCCGGATCCCGGGGATTACTGTTACTTTTTTTTATTCACAAGTTCAGATATTTGCTATTTACTTTATTATATCCAGCGTGAATAGGTGTTTTGTATAGGGCTTCTTTATTTTAAATGACTGTTCAAAGTTAACAGAAAAACACTGCATTTTCTTGGCAGTCCAAAAAATATGTTTACTGTGTTCATTTAGTCTAAATCAACACAATCTCTTTTCACATATTGCATGGTCTTTGGTGCCTATTACTTCTTCAAATATTGCCCAGTTCTTTAAAAAAAAACAAACAAACAAAACTTGAAAATGTAGTTGTAAGTATTTAAATCAGAAATTTCTTGGAGTTGCTGGAACTTTTACGATGTCCAAACATTTTACCTAAACTTATATTTTAAAAACATATAAAGATATATCAATATGATGTATACAAAAAGAAAAAAAAAAGGAAAGCTCTTCTCCCTACAATTTATCTACAAAACAAGATCTTGTGAAGAAGTCAGATGCACATCACTGTAGCAGCTGCAATGACAGGTAAGTGTCTGGCAGGGAACAACCTCAGACAGGACCAGTTATCTGGATGACATCCTAAGAGAGTGATGGGAAGTTTCCAGGAGGAAAAGGCAGTGAAAAACAAGGTCTGAGCATCACTGATTAAGAACACCCTTCTCATTCATTCTTAAATTTCTTAGCAGGTCCTGTCTAGGGATGCATCCTACAGTGCCCCATGGATACTGAGAAAGGTTCCAAGCCAGTGTATGGAGATTCCGGCAAGGCACAGGGGTTTTGCAGTTATCACAAGAGTTTTCAAAAACCCAAATATATATTATGCGTTGGCTTGGATTGAATAAATAATGTTTTACACACACACACACACACACACACATTCACCCAGTCATATATTGGTATTTTTCAAATGTTTATAAATACTATTGGAGATTACTTCAATACACTTTATTTACAAATGTCACTGAAATTATACTACCTTCACTTATTCATTTTTTTCTATAAAAGACATTAAAGGCGGCACATACTGCATGGAGCACTGGGTGTTATACGCAAACAATGAATCATGGAACACCACATCAAAAACTAATGATGTGATGTATGGTGATTAACATAACACAATAAAAAAAATTTTT